GAAACTGAGTTACACCTGAGAAACGTAAACCTCCATTGAAACATTTATGTGGTTGGGTGACTAAAAAACTCAAGTAATGTCTCTGCAAGAGACATGGATTCAGTTTATAAAGCTGTCCAAGGCTCTCTTGAGAAGACCTGTGGAGCTTTCTGAATTGCAACCCACAGCAGGAAGCTACTGGGCATGCACAAATCCTGAAAAAGTAGTGAGCAGTCGGAGACAGGTGCCCCGCAGTCCCCCAAAAGACAAAATAAGCTTTATATTACCACGCAGAGATACAGAAGGAAATTTATTCCTTTGTATTAGCACAGGTGGAAGTTTAGGATGAGACGCTGCAAAATGGCCCACTGTGTGATGACTAGACATAGTAAAAGTTGTTAGGGTAAAGCTAGTTTTAAAAAAGAGGCCTGAGACTAGTTTCTCTGCAAACGTATTCTGAAAACAGAAGGTCAACCCACAGGATGATGACCTCTAGGTCAAGTTCTGTGCAACTCACAGGGGCAGTGTAGGTTTCACTGTGAAAATATTCTGTCACTCTCAGGGCATTACATTGAGAAGAAAAGAGGAGCAGACAACTTTCATCCTGGCTATCTAGGAAAAACTCTTCCATGGAGGAGTATTGTTATTGATAACAATGCTCTCAGTGCTGCATGCATACCCAGGTAGAACCACTTGTCTTTTTGTCTTTCTTCATGGAAAAGTTGATAAAGCCTTGTCATTCCTGATTGACAGAAAATCTAAGGATTTGTTCTGGAATGGTTATTATCCATACAGTGAAGAAATTAGAAACAAGAGGACTATTAGATTCAGTCCAGCCTTTATCTCTTGCCACCTATTTACTTTAGTAATCACTGCAGTTGTTAGTTACACACTAGTATAACTACAGACAACGTGTTACAGCTAGGGAGAGCTATTGGACCAGATCCTGGTTCCTAATGAGGCTGTTTTGTGCTGGTTCAGTGACACAAAGCTGTCTTAAAATTACCTTTATCAGGTACATACAGATTCAACTGGCAGTGGGAAATCTCCAGATGGAGAAATTTGGTGTGGCTGGTTCTACATGTCTCAACCCAGTTCAGGAGATTGCTGAGAGACGGGAGGTATGTGTGGCTGGAGCATTGCTGTGGAATCCCTTGCTAGGGAACTGCATCATAAGGTTGCTGCAGCCAGGCATCATTTAACTCAGACTTGAGCTTCTTCCTGGGCCTGATCCAAAATCCATTGGAATAAGCTGAAATATGTCCTTTCACTTCAAAGGGCCTTGGATCAGATACTAACTTATGCTGGTAGCTGACCCAAGCCTGTCCACCCAGCTGACTGGGAGAGCTGGGGAGCTGACCTATTATCTCTCACATAAATCTCTTTATTACTCATTAAAGTAATATTATTGCTTTAAGCAATTCAGGGGCTGAAGATGGCTGAGGTAGTCTCAATGTGTGTTGTTCGCACCTTTGCAGGCTGGCAACTGTTATTCACAAAGGAGAACTATAAGGTTAATTCTGGAGTTAAGAATTAACTTCAAATAAGAGAAATCCTTATGTAATATACCCCTCCAGCTACTTAAATAACTCACCTCCAGAAAACTAGGAATGTTTCGTTTCCAATACTTTTGCCACCTAAAAAGCCATCACTTGCAAAGAATTCAAACCAGAATACACTGAAGTGTGGGAGATCTTTCTTTCACCTAGAAAGGGCTATTATACCAGAGTATTATATAACAGGTAAATGAACCTGTATTTCCTATCTACAGAGAGAGGGGGTACACACAGGAAGCCCTTTATCATCCCTGGAATGCAATAAATAAATGCACGTACATTCCCAGTGTATAGGGAAGCAGTTCCTCCCAGGCTATGCTAGGCTCTCTCTCATTAAGGAATATAAGCTGCAACTTCGTAAGAGCTCAAAGAATATGGTGTTTACAGTGGGAGTCATTCCTCAGAAAAGATATCAGGGAGGTGTAATAGAAAGTTATGAGGCTCCTAAAGTTGACTGCCTCAGAAACAATACTGCACTTCTGCCACAACCTTAGAAAAGAAGTTTTGTAGACACCATCTTCAATCAAAAATTATCCAGCTGGAGGGAAATGTACAATCACTTAGTGTCAATTAGCGTGAGGGACCCTAAGAGCAAGACAAGCCTTAAGTCTTTGTAGTAAGAAAAATGCAGGAACTGGATTGTCAGTTCCCTATCCAGATACCCAATAGGTAATAGGAATATAAACTTACACATTTTATTTGAGAGTATGTGCGAGAAACCGTGGAACAAGCATACCGAGTTCACTGAAACTATAATGGTTCTAGTAGCCTTGTATATAGAAGCAGGGCAGGAGTTCACCCACTACAGCAGGAATAGCCTGGACCTAGTGCCTTGCTTGATGTTGCAACAGTGAGCTGAATTGTTGTAAAGTGCAACAATTCAATTTGTATGGGAGATGAGGTTTCCCTGCCTCTTTCTCACATGCTGCAGCCTATGGGGAACTTCTGAAAGCAGAATCATGTATTGTTGTTGCACTTGTACAGTGTTGTCTTGTGTTGATAAAGGGTAATCTCAGGCCTAGCAAGGGTTGAGATGCTAATGAAAGCCGTGCTTGCTGTTTTAACAGTAAAAGTTGGTTTTAGGTTTATTGCCAAGTTCTTGCTAGCTTCTTTCCATCGTAACAACCACCATTCATTTTTTCTAAACCCTTTATGAATGACAGAGAAAAAGGAAAAACATTTAAAGCATGTGAAATACTATATTGTTTATGTGTATTGTACTGTTTGGCTTTCATTTCAACAATATCTTTTCCCCCTTTCCCTCTGACAGGCTTTCAGACAGCATTACATGGGGGATTAGCTGTCCTTCTGAGGGCAAAGAGAAAAAGTTGGTGGGCTAAAGTTGGTGTGACTGGAACCCAATCCTGTTTTCTTTAAGACAAAACAAAGTATCCTACATGCAAAAGGAAAGGGAGAAGAGCAGACAGGATAAAAAAAAAGGCAGGCTCTGCCTCTGGTGCTGGGTTACTTGCAACCTTGCTGCTGAAGAAACCCTGGCCCCAGCCATGTTTTACCAGTCATTCCCAAACTTGGCAATCTTGTGCTAGTGTTGGGGCTGTGTAAGATGCTGCTTTCAGCTTGCTTTTCTGAACACAGGCTTGCAGCGGTATTGCAAATGTATAGTTGTCTTGGCAGCTAAGCCAGACTCCTATTAGGCAGAAGTAAAAGGAGAAAGGAATGTGACAGGGAAGGCAAATAAAAAGGAAGCTACAACAGGAACCAAGCTTCACATGCCAGGTGGCGATTAGGATTTAGCAGAAGGCAGAGGAGGGGGTGATGCCATATATTTCCCTATCTCTAGCTTCACCTGTGGAGACAAGATGTCTTTCAGGATCTGGATGGTTAAGAGCCAAGCCTGTTATGGTGGATTTCAAGGTCCCAGGAAATGGTCTAAGAGGCTGCCATGGTGGTAAAACTTGCATGTTCTGTCTACCTGCTCTGTTGTTTCCATCTACGGATCCCAGAGAGTGTCCAAGAAGGGGACCTACCTTATGTCAATGAAATTAAACAAGCCCTACATCTTTTAGTGATTCAAATATAAAAACGTCCTCCTAGTTGTACACTCTCTCAGCTCACTCTCATGCTAATCCTTACTTTTACCTCAAAGGCCTCACAGCCCCCAAACCATCCAGGTTGCGCCAGTTTGTTTCCCACTTTCATTGATCTCTGTCAACATTTCTATGGAACTGGCTGAATGGGATTGCAGTTGCCTTGGACTAGGTACAGATTACAGTTCACGGCATAACAGCTGCCCTTCCAATTAGTGGAGATGGACAGCTGGCATTTTTACCTCTGGATCATCTAACCAAAGCTGAAGAGGCAAAGTTGCCAGTGGCTGGTTTGCACCAGGATGCCCTTTGGAGCTGCTGCTAGCGAAGCAGTAAGGAAGCTCTCGCAGAGCCTGGGGTCACCTCAGGCCACACGCAACCTCCTCTCGCTTCTTCCCATACGTGATACGGCAGACTCGACCCAGGTAAAGAGGGAAGCTGGGATGCCTCGTTGAGGCGAGGACGTTTTGGGTGGTCTCTGCTATCAGACCGACTACGCAGCTGGGAGAAAAGTCAGACACGCGAGATGCTCTTCCTCGGGTGTCTGAACACGGGAAGCAGAGCCCGAGAACTGAAGCGCGGCGGAGGGGAGAGGCCGAGACGGTCTCGGCGGTAGCAGGCGGCTAGCTGTTAAGATCCTGTCGCAAGGGGGGCTGCGGGAAACCTCAGGCAGCTGCCAAGAGAGAGGAGAAGGGGGCTTGAACACCATGCACGTATTTCTCCTCCGCGAGCAGTGACAGGTGCCTTGAATCCCGCCAGGCTCTCGCTGCCATCTTCCCCCTGGCTCCCGCGTCCCCGCGCCCGAGGACAAAGCCCCCCACCCCCACCGCGCGGCTCCGCGTTTCCCCCTGTGGAGAGTCGGGCCCAGACATTTCCAGGGGGCTTCAAGGGGGGAGGGGGAGGGGCATGGCGGCGGGTCCCGCAGCCCGGCC